GGGGGCAGATGTTAATTACAGATTTCATTTTACATTTTGCTCCACCTGCAAACAAATTCTGGATTTCCCCTAGTTTATGCTGAACTCTGAATTGTCACAGGAACTCAGTGAAAAGAACATTGGATTGGAAAATGTTCGAATCTGCTATTCACCGTTTTCAAGAACCAGTCATACTGCAAAAGTGGTGGCATCTGTTCTAAATATTTCACTCGAAGGTCCACAGTGCAAGGTAAGTTATTCCATCAATTGATTTCAGGATATTGGAGATAGTTTAGATACAAGCTTTCCAAAATATAGTTGTAGAAAAGATCTTTCTTTGCTACATTTTTGTTGATACTTGATGCAGCAGTAGATACTCACATTTTAGGCAGTATCACCACATTTGTAGAGCATGGGCAGATGCATCCTGATCTTTATTTGAGCAGATTAGTTCTTCCAATATCAGCAATAAAATCATAAGAAATATGAGCAAAACACTACTATGGCATGCCAAAAGTGGATTGGATATTTGAACGTTAGCCATTAGCTAAACTGATTTGTTTGATTGCATCCTTGAGTGAAAGAAGAAGTTTACTCAACTATTTACTGGATAAAAATAATTTTTTGGCTAGGAACTAGACGAAGACTAATAGGAAATGGAATTTTTCTTTATACCATCTTAATACCATACCAGCCATACAAGAGGCCTTTCCTAGCCAAACACAAATTACAGGATTTTAAGCACTTAAACCAGTAAAAGATGGGATGCTTATATAAATGAGTTTTTCTCTACTTCCATCATCCAAATGTATCATTCAGATGATAAGGTAATTAACTAAAGGTTTGCAAATTTGGGTATAAATTTTTGGCTAGGGGTTTTCTGTACAATGGAAGAGAGGTAGGACTAGTTATTGTTATCTAGTTCTTAAAAATTTTTCTAGACGTTACTTAATGTGAGTAATATATACTGAACAGGCTATGGCAGATCTTCGGGAGCGATACTTTGGTCCTTCATATGAGCTTACGTCTCATGATAAAGTAAGCGAACTTTGAGAATTTCTATCATCCAATGCCAGCTCTGGCCTCTGAGTTGATTTACTGTCAATCTGCTCATGTAATCTACTTCTCTAGCATGGAGCTGATCCTAGTCTGACATCAATAATATTTTCAGTTGGTCCTCAATTTGGTCAGAATTTAAAGTTTTCTTGTTTTCCTTCCTTTACAGTATCCTGATATATGGACCCTGGATGAGAAAGATCCCTTCATGCAGCCTGAAGGTGGAGAAAGTGTTGCAGATGTTGTCTCTAGACTCACAAGGGCTTTAACTGTTATAGAATCAGAGTTTGAAAGGTAATGGTTTTTATCGGTTCTCTTATTCTTTCTCGAGCTTGCATTTTCAACTTTTCGATCAAAATTTCTATTGATTTCGAAATCTGTATATAATTGTTTTTATGTCGTTGTTCGCATACCTTGTGCAACTATATATTTGAAACTGTAAGTTAGATCTTTTAATACTAAAATCTCACTATGAAATGCAACATTTGAGCATGCTAATTTCAAATTAAGTTTCACATAGCATCATATGTGTACACACGGAGCACTTTCACCCAAGGACAAAATCATATTTGTACCATAACGTGAGAAAAAGCTTGTTGCTCTATTTATATACGTATATGCTTTGACTCGCATAAATAAGCATTCTTTAACAAAAGAGGGTACTTAACAGGCTCGTACATAGAGGTATTCATATAGAGTTACCTATCATATTCAGTATCCAATCAGATCAGTATTGCCTCATAAACCTATTGACATTGTAGGTATGTTTAGCATAACCAGAAGTTGGTTGAAAATGGAAAGTGGGGAGTCGAAAAGGGAAGGATAATAGACCTTCCCCTTCTGAGAAAAAGGGAATGAAATTGAATTTGCAATGGAAGGTAAAATTTTTGGTTCCATTTGAAATTAGATACCCAACTCTTTTACGCGAACGTGGCAAAAGTCCAAAATTGTTATTTTCATGTCACGCGTTTCAAAACCTTCTAAAGATGTGTCTTCACTCCATGATTATAGATATATCTCTATTAGCCCTTTCCCACTACGTCTTTCCATGGTCTTGTCATTGGCTGAAAACAGATCTCAAATCCTATAATTTGTCATCGTGGATCCTGTTTACTTCCCATGTTTTTGGATGTATCGTCTCTTTTGTAGATGTGCAGTACTGATTGTGAGCCATGGTGATCCACTCCAGATTCTGCAAACAATACTCAGTGCAGCTAAGATACACAACGATGACTTGACATCAATAATGCAGGCAGTCAGCATTCCATCTGTGCTGTCAAGGCACCGCAAGTTTGCGTTACAAACTGGAGAACTTCGTCAATTAGTATAGCTAGTAGCTTCCATGTGGCAGCAAAGCATGTAGTATTTTAAGTGTATTACTGAAATCTATTTTTTATAATAATGAGATAAACATTGCTACTAGATTCTAACTGGAAGTTGCCAGTTATGAAGGTATGGTAATTGAGTTTGAGAAATAATTTTACCTCTTTACATGTATACAAATGCAACCATTATGCATGGAAAGGCTAGATCTATGTACGTAACCTCTATGAAATTTAATATCTACATGTTGCACATTGTGGGTTCGTCTAAGTTGAGCAGAACTAAACATATCTATCCTCCTAGAGTGAGAACTCCAGTTTGACTTGGACGAGTATGTCATATCTATCCTCCTACGGCGAGAACTCCAGTCTTTCTTATCAATTAACTGCATCCCCAAGCTCAAGGTTTGAATTTCTTCACTGTAGTACCCTCATTACTTAGGCCTTAACAATGACTAAATTGGCTTTGCTAGATCCCATGCTATAACTAGTATTAGATGTAGAATAAACCAATTTAAAAATGGCATTAAATGATAGGATTGCTTGTTGACCTATGTGAGTTGTGCAAAAAATAGCATACTCCAAATTCTCAATCAAAGAGCTCTAGAAATCAATTTTGTTGGAAAAAAATGTGAATGAAATATCCCATTGAATTGAATTGTATCCATGAATATAAGAAATAGTGAGAATTTTAGATATCTTTCAATTCAGAATCTAAGATTTGAATTGATATCCTTTCATTGATTCCTCCTGAATTGTATTAATTTATCGTAAAGATTTTATGATAATTGGAATTTGGTTATTCTATATGAGGATCCATGATAAGCATCCATGCGTGAATGGTAAAAGTGTCTTCGGTTCCTATTGGATGTACGCCAATGAGCATCTCTTATAAGTCTATTAGAATTGACTTGTATCAATGAAATTTCATCATCTATACATAACGAATTGTTATGTATATTCATTTCATAATATATGAACCATAAGAACTAACATTCTTTCTTGAGACTAAAACTTGTAGGAGAGAAAATAGATAAATGGATGGAATCAAGTATGATTTATTAAAAAAAAAAAAAAGGATGAGAAAGAAAGAAAGAAAAAAGTTATTTGATTATTGAGGAAAATGCAATATACTTCTAATGTTGAAGATGATTAACTAGGACATTGGTCTAGCTTTTCTTTGGTGTAAAGGTAGTAGTTAAAAAAAGTCATCGACTTCCAGAAAGTGGTACAAGAATGGGACATATCAGGGGACATATAATGCATGACACATGGTTGATCAATGTGTTTTCTCAAGTTATTATATTCCACCTCTTCGATAAAAAAGAACTTAAATCAAAATACTTAATAGAATGACGATATATTTATATATAACATCAATCCCAATCATACGTAACGAAATCGTAGAAAATCAAATGAAATCCAATCCAAAAAATGATTTTGTCTGTGGACTCATCGTGATTAATGTCACAATGTCAAAGGAATCATTATCATAAGGGATACATGGGAAGGTCATAAACGTCTAAAGTAAAATCAGCTTCCAACACATGAAAAAAGACATATAACATAGAATCGTAACCATAGAATAAGGCCCTCATTGAAATGCATACATTCATCCCTTACCCTATGGGAATGATGAGAAGAGATTAAGTCCCATAAAGGCTATAATTGAACATACCATTGTTTCTGGTACAAAGTTCCTATAAAAATGGAAAATAGTTTAGTTAGAGTGTGGGTGAACTATTGATTTTATACAATGGAAGTAACTTATTAGATTTGCAACACACTTAAAAATTGATCACTAATCCAATTTAAGTACCTCTAGAAGATAGGCCATAACTGAAAATTGAAGAGTAACGACAATAAGTGATTGAGTTAAATTGTTTCTCATATAAAACAATTGACTCTAGAGATAGAGTAATACAGAGAAGACAATTTTATTTTTATTTTTTAAAAACCAACATTACACAAAGTGCCTCTTCTTTCAAAAAGAGAATGATGCGTTATTCATATTTCATTTGATGGTTAGAGACAAAATGAAAGCTAACCAATGGAAATTCTAAAGATTAACCAACATGGAAAACAGATATATCCATACTATGTGAAATTATCGACTTAATTTGTTAATTCATTTAGTCTGAATGTTACATGAAGAACATAAACTAGATTACAGAATGGGAAGACCTAGGATATAGAAGATCATACCATGAATGATATATATATACACGTGCGCGTACACACACACATATATGGCCCACTTTAAAATTGCCTTTTGCGAGATCTATTTGATATCCAAAACTTATTAGCCATAGTTAGACAAGTGGAGAATGTCAAGATGAACCGAAAAGGTTTGGGTAGTAGCATCCGCTAGGTAAGTGCCTCGTAGTAAGATGATTAGTTATGAACGTCGCAAACCATCCTATAACGGTATTGACGAACAGCCCTAGGGATGACAATTAGACTTGTCGACTCGAGTCGCCCGCGGCTCGATCCAGAAATGCCCGATCCGACCCAAGCCCTAGCCCCATTTCGGGGAGTCGGCTCGAGTCCAAGCCGGTCTCTGTAAAAAAAAATTCAATTCAATCTGCTGCCAACAGTCAGCAAATTCGCTGCCGGTTAACGCTACAAAATAGCAGTCTTAAATCGGTAGTTGGGGAAAAAAACTCAAGCAGATTCGGCTTGGCTCGATAAGGCCCGAGCCGAAAGCTCGAGTCGAGCCTTAATTTTTTGGCCGAGCTTTTGCTCAACTCGGCTCGGGTTAAAAAAAAAGCTCGAGCCGAGTCCGAATTGGGAGTTTCGACTCGTTGACACCTCTAAACAGCCCTCATTGGTACAAAAATCCCACAACACCTTGGGGTTATCTTGCACTTGTAAGTTGAAGTGGAGAATGAATAAATATAGTTACAATTTGATTCTGTCTTTCTGAGAAAAGAAAGTATAGATTATATCATGTTAATTATGGGCAAACGACACAAATTGAACCTACGCATGGTAGATTCACAATCCACTTTGCTACATCCACCTTTTGACTATTTAGATTTTTTATTTAAGACAAAGGTTGAATTTTGATCATTTCATTTATTTTTTTTTTCCTATTTCTGAGATATTTATCTCTGCGATAAAAAGATTAAGCCAAAACTCAGTTTTTTGTTGTTTTAATTTCAAACTTCAGTGTAAAAAATAACTTTCCAAAAGATGGATAAATAAATGAAAATAAAATGCGTATATAACAAACAAACAAACAATAATCAATCATCAATTAACCTGTAAGAAAAATAATCCATTTTCTTTCTCTTTCTGTTGTATAATGAATAAAATTCTAGGTACAATATGACTAAAATAAATAATAATAATTTAAAAAAAGGAGCAATAATGCCCTCTTGATAGAACAAGAAAGAATTTATCGCTCCTTTATTTTTATTTTTTTCACTAATTCCTATACAATATGATCATGTTATTGATGAAACTTCAATATCAGCTAGGTCTAAAGGTAATTTAGAAACCATGCATATCGCTAAATCGAGAGCTATCGAATCCACCAGCTGTCCCTAACATATGAAATAGGTGCATAAGGATGTTGTGCTTAGCTTCATAATATAATCATGAAGTTGAAAGTACCAAAAATTCATTCAAGCATCTAATTAGAATAATTCCTTGACCAAATTGAATAGATCAAGAACACAATGGTAACAACTACAGTAGGAGTTGAATATGAAATAATGATCTAGGTCGCATTAGCGACCCGTGTAACAGCTATACCAAGCAAGAAGTGTCGAATGACTAATTTATTAGGACAAATGTTGTATAATCATTCATCAATTGATGCCGCTTCCCAAATTAGGTAAATATGCAAATATGTAGCCGTAGAAGTAAGAATAATGACACTTGAGATTATATTACTTTCGTGAAGTAGACAGGAGACCAATTTTGACCTTGGTTTAAGGTAATTTAAAATAAAATCACAAGATTATGATTGCGTAATTGATTAAATAATGTATTTTATTATTATGAAGATATTTTGCTTAGTTTGGTCAAGATTGTCAAATATCGTAAACACAAAGCACATACATCGTCATTTAAAAATACATACAACCAAAAAAGATCTATAAACCCACTACTAGAGACTCAAAATGAACCAAAATATTAGTATACAAAGAGAATAAAACTTTGTATACTTGTGTTTTAATATGTCTCACAATGCTATGAACACATGGTTTGAGATTCTCAAAAATCATTCTATTCCGCGTCATCCAACTATGATAGACCGTGCAAGCAAGTGCAATTCTCTTGGCCTTAGCTAGCCAAGATGTACCTTGAGCTTTTTTCTTCATCCACTTCAATGCATTAAGTATTGTCGTCATTGACCTTCTCATTCCCAATCAATCTTTAATATGTCCCCATATGTTTAAAGTGAAGACACTGGAAAAATAAGTGCTTTCCATCTTCGAGGGTTGAATCACAAAAGATACACAATCTATCAATGTTTAGATACATCAACTTATCCTTCGTAAGAAGCTTTGATTGTACAGCAGTCGAAAATCTTTTTGATAAAAAAAAAAAAAAAAAAAAAGGGTATTGCCAAGTCATGATTTTAAACCTTGACAAGGTTACGAGCCTTGTGAGCTACCAAACTTCTCTACCACACACTAAAGACAAGAAATGAAAACTAGCAGACAAACAAGGATCGAATGTACTCCTTTACCATATCGATACAAACAAATATCTCATTCATACATAATGGTAAATAGGCCTTTTATGATCATCAACCATAGAAATAAAATGAAAGATTAATCATTACCAACTTGATCTCATTGCTCTTGGCAACAATGCATAAACCATTTCACCATGTGTCCGAATAGTCCAAATTCTTGATAGTCAAGGATAGAGTCACAGAGCCATGAAGAGTCTGTTGGAATTTTTTTTTTTATCGGAAATTGGTTGTGACCAATTTTAAATGATTATTTAAGTGGAATTCGTTATTTGGTGAATGAGAAATTAAACCAAATGTAAATCTCTTAAATACTGAAAATTATTGAAAAAATCGTATAGAATATTGTGGAATATTCTAGAAATATATGAAGGAAAAAACGTGGCTTTTCGTATGAAAAATCATGACTCTTGGTATGGGTATGATTAATGTCCAATAATTATGAATTCCAAGAGATACGTCTTTTGGTATAGTTATATCTTTTGACATACCTTTCCAACTACTATATATATAG